ACGATTTATGTAAGATTTTGGGTTCTGAGAATATCAATTAACTTGGATAATTTCTAGCATCATGATTGTAATCACTTTCCAAAATATGTGATTTCGACCCTTATGCATGGGGTATCACGAAATCCGATTTGGGATAATCCAAGAAATGCAATTTTGAAAATCAAGCCACTTCCAAAATCAAAACACAAAAATATACCTTGTTGTTTTGTGTTTTGTATAGATAGAGAGAACAAAATATACTTTTCGTGTATATGTGTTCCAACCCTTTTTGTGGAACCAGAGAAAAGTTCTTATACTAGAGGGAAAAAAGGTTATGGCAGTCGCCTCCAGATTTGGAGCCAAAACCGGTAGTTATTAGACATAACTAACACTTACATCATCAAGAGAGTTTTGGCGGGAAATTGCATGGAGGCCAGGGGCGCTGACTCTTGGACCCCTCTAGCGGCGCTACCCCCTAGACCCCTGTAACGCCCGCAGATTCGGGCTAGTCAATTTAGAGACAATGAGCATCAAAAATGACTTTTTGATGAGAGATTATTTAGAAGTAATAATCTTAACCAAATTATATTATATCTCACAAGGGTTCCGTACATATAAAGAACGCCAAAATCCGAGTTATAACGAAGAAGTTTTGACCCGTCGAAGTTTTACGACAAAACCGGCACGACACCGCGTAACGTAAAAAGTGAATTTTTGATAAATTACTTTTTAGCCTTAGAAATCTAAACGAAAGTCATAATATACTTTAAATCAAGAACGTGCATAAAAAGAACGTCTAAATCTGACTTCATATGAGGAAGTTATGATTTTTCTAAGATTTAGCATAACAGTACATATCCCGGAATTCAAATTTTATATCGATTGATTTTCAGCTGACACAACCTAAATGAGACTTGAATATCTCATTAATAGGATCTCAACGATAAAAAGACAGTCGAAAACGAAGTCCGTATGTAGAAGTTATGAATTTTACACGGTCGTTAAATAGTGTAATCTTCTCATACCGTTAAATTTAAAATCGGTCGAGAATTAGCCGACGGAGTGTAAACGAAAGTTGTAGAGTACGTCTCCACCTACGCGTGGATATAAAAAACATCGAAAACGGAGCACTTATGCTAAAATTACAAAATTTAGAAGTCGGAATGGTGCTGCTGCGAAATGGGTGACGTGGCTTAATCTGGACCATTGCTTTCTCCCCAAGCCTTGCCACCAGAGGGTGATATGTGGCACCAACTCGACGAGTTGGATGCCAAACATCAACGAGTAGGTCCAAAATTCAGCCTATAAATAGCATACGAGAGTGCCTTCATTTCTCACACCAAAAACCCATTCTCTCTCTCTCTCTCTAACTTCTCTCTAAGGCTCCCAAAGCCCTAGTAACCTCAAGGTTCTAGAGGAAAGCCACAGAGCGCCCGAAGGCTCCGAGCAAAAGAGCTTTTCGGCTCGGAAGTTCTGCCCCGCAGAGCCCGATTCCTCGCTAAACCTCATGTAAGTTGAGTTATGCTTACCGTACTTTAAGTATAACTTATGTTTAAGTTCATTATCATTATTATGAACCTATAAACAAGATTTATCAGTGATTCCAAGTCATTATAATGATTGATCTACTTACGGGGGTGATGTCTAGGCTGTGATTTAATGAGGTGTTTAAAGTGGGATTTCCAAACAATATACTTTGTATACCAAACGGACCCTACCTCCGATATGATCCTACCTGGTTGTTCCTTACTTGATAGATCATGAAAGTAGACTTTGAGTTAATGATGAATCTAGACTAATAATTAGTCGCAATAAAGATTAGACTAAAACTTAGCGATAATAATGCTAGGTTTCGTCGAAGGAAAATATAATCGTTAGAAGCGAAGCGCTGCCCGAGTTTGGAATCATCACTTTAACAAGTGAGTGCATAGTTACTTTCATCTTACACAGGTATGAAGTATTTAATATAAATTACGTACTATGTGTGCATATTATCCGTGTTCTTGATATCTATGCCTGATGAACCGAATATACATGTTTTATTTAATATAAACTATATATGTATTTTATACCCATAAAAATATTGGGTAAAGATGGGTAAAGGAATGATGAGGGATGAAAGTTGATATAGTTGAACATTGGTAGCTATGGACTTAGTGCCCTATAGTTGAACATTGGCAGCTGCGCCACAACCTGTAGATGTTGTTGAACTACGATGTACTCTAAACATCCTGGCAGCTGCGCCAAAAGTATAATATCGGCAGCTGCGCCTAATAGAGAATATCATAATCCTGGCAACTGCGCCTAAAGGATAATATCGGCAGCTGCGCCTAATAGAGAACATCATAATCCTGGCGGCTGCTCCTAAATGATAATATCGGCAGCTGCGCCTAATAGAGAACTTCATAATCCTGGCAGATGCGCCTAAATGATAATATTGGCAGTTGTGCCTAATAGATAACATTGACAGATGTGGCATTGGAAGCGATGGACTTCATGCCTATTCCTTAGGAGAATCCTTAGGAATGAATGAGTGAATGATAGATGATTCTTAGGGTAGATCCTTAAGAATAAAGAAGATAATGAGGATGGGTAATTGGGTTAATTGTGTGATGATGAAACATAATAACTTTATTATTGTGGGTTGAAAACCCTATGTACTCACCAGGTTTCTCAACCTGACCCACTCAGTTTATTTGTATCACAGGTGTCGATACGAAACTACATTACATTGAGAGATTAAAGGAGATGTAGATTACTAGTGTAAATAAATATAAGGTCTGTTTATGCTTATGTTTCTGTATTGACAATGACATCCCAAAGTTTTAATATAACCAAAAAATACATTTCTTCGGAAATGCTTTGATAATATATTTATCATGTTTTCTGGGAACAAATTCCGCAATATTATTCTTTAAAAAGGATACTCTGATTTTCAAATAAGCATAAATAAAATTAAAATGACCGTGAATTTGGGAATGTCACAACCCAGCTAAGGGTTTGCAGCCCCTTGGAACCCTGCATCCAGGGGCGCTGCCCCCGGACCGTCGTATTCCTGAGTTCATAATTATCACACCAAGTGTGCACCCCCGCACCTCCAAGCTCGGTAAGTAAATGAAGCTTGGTCTATCTCATTATTAATAATAATTATACCAAAATATATTGGTAACACTAAAATCACCAACAATTTACACTGTGATATAACAGTGGAGCCGGTTGTTCGGTGGTTTGTTTTTTAGCTATTGGGTAATGGGCCAAAGAGGGAGGACTCCGACGATTATTTTTGTTTGGTCAGGGCTGATTGCAATCACCAATTCATTGTTTTGGGATACAATTAATCCGTGCGAATGAAATTAGTGGGCCTTTCCGGTTCCCTTGATTGTGAATTAGAAAGGTGTATTTGATTTTAAGTGTTACTGCTACACATATTCTTCATTTGCTTTGTACTCTTCTTTACATACATGGATATTTGACAGAAAGTGTTAAGTGTTTTAAATTTGTCCGTTTTTTATTTTGATGTGTTGTGAAGTTTTGGATCTATTTGTAGTCGTATAAACAACAAGCTACCATATTCCCTACAACGCTAAAGCTAAATACTAGGGAGTTGCATATGTTGTGTCCCTAAAACATGTTGGAGACGTAGTCTATGTTTGACATATTAGCTGAAAAACTAGCTGATAGAGGAAAAGCTAGGTGATAAAAAATAATGTTTGGTAAACTAACTGATAAGGTAGTTGAAATATATAAAATGACATAAAAGACATTTAAAAGAATATGCTTTTATATTAATTAATAAGTATATTTGGAAAATTTCTCTTTCGAAAAAAAAGTGTATTTGGAAAATTATAAAAAAGCTTTTGAAAAACTAATTTAAGTAGCTTTTAAAAAAAAACAAAGTTATAAGCTATCTTTTGACTTTTCAATTAAACATTACGTCTTAAAAAACTCAAAAAGTAAGCTAGTTTATCAGCTGTTAGTTATGGCACGTCAAACATAGTCATAATCTACTCTTCAAACATTTACATGTCACAAAAGCTACTCTTATTTAGAATGATAATTTTAGCATGATATATCTCTCAAGTGATTTTGTTTAACAACGAAAAAAACACATTGAAATTAATACCCATTTTGTTTGAGAGAAAGTCTCCAAAGGCCGAGTGCACATCTTACATGTCCCTTCTCGCTATCAAATAACTGACATATTCACTAAAGGCATGTCAAAAGTTTTATATGATTTTTGTTTACAACAATCGACTGAGCATTCTTCTACCTCCGACTTTGATTTAGGGGGTGTGTTAGGCATATGTATATTATACAATAATTGTTATATTAGGATCGATCTTATTATTAATAAGTTAGGAAGGTTTCCTTGTACATGCAATCCAGCAACTCATGTATAAATATACTCACAACTAACGAGAGAGGCACGCATTGAGTTTAATAAGATTACAAAGTTGATAAAGTAGCAACATCCAAATAATTAAATAAGGAGATGAATATAGGCCTCATAGGTCACTATAAGCAAAGTGTAAATTCCATTATATTAGATATATCTTCTTCAGAAAAGGATCATATAATTGAAATTTACATTTACATGTAAATCCTGAAAATGATAAATGAAATCTCATTAAGATTCCTTCATTAGCTTTCCAAAGATCATGTTGCATGTTCACAACTCTTGTCCTTTTTACTTGAAATTTATGAAGTGTCGAAGCACTTTCAATGACTACTTTATCTACTTTTAATGGGGATCAATACATTAGTTGAAAGAAAAACTTAAGAAAGAAGGAACAAAACAAAGAAAACATGATTGTAAAATAAATTTAGATTGTTCGACATTTCAGTGTGCCATCTACCAAAAATCGTCCTCTCATATTTAATTAAAAGGTATCCTAGTTCTTTTGTGAACATCCTTGGAAGCATGGGTAGTTTCATAGAAACTAATAAAGCACTGAGGAGAAAAATTAAATTTTTTATGGTATAGTACATGATCAGTAACTATACGCAATGATGGTACTGTGCTAGATGCTCGTGGGTTGTGGGAGCACTTGCTTACGATAAGTAGCTAAAGCCCATATTGGGAAAATATCCCTGTAAAGTGCATAGTGCAAGGTACATGTTTTCTTGAAAGCTCCGGTTGATTCCTACATTATGCAGTTTTCAAGTAATTAGCAAATACAAGAACCACCCACAAATTGATATTGTAACTTGGTTAGCACTCTATATATTATTTAATATCATCAGGTTCTTAGTATCTCATTTAATTTGATTGAAAATTAGAGGGATTTATGTTTAACCCATGATTTGTTGGGTTATTCATCATGTATTGGAGATGCCATTAACCATAAAACTAAGAGTACCCATAATGGATGAAACTTTATAGAGTTTAATGGAATGACACATAATCATTCCTAATTTCATACAACTTTACCATTTTTCTCAAAAATGCATTGAACTATACAAAACATATTTTTATAAAACTAAAACCATTTATTTGTTAATATTAGAAAATTTTTATGTTTCTCATTAAAGAGTTTAATGACCATTAAACTCCATATCCATTATTATTGAGTTTAATACAATGAATGTAAACTAGACATTCCATCTCATCTAATCATTCAATTAAATTATTTATATTGGATGTTCTAACTTTATGGTTAGCATTACCTGTTGTGGAAAATCACCATTTTCCATCTGGGAATTAATCAACAACTTGGCTGCTCTGTGTAAAGGTGTTGGATCTCTCTCTTCCTATACAATTGAAGACATGAATGTATTAGAATACAAATATAAATGACAAGATAATGTAACTAATTGATATGATATGAATTTTTTTCAAAATAAGAACTGACCTGCCTAGAATGAATCAGTCCCATCATAGCCCATGCAGTTTGTACCAAATTGGACCTTCCTCCTTCTAGACCTACATATGTCTGTTTATAAAGTAACCACGGAGATGAAACTAAGTATACTAAGCCATGCTTAAACGTGTATAATGTGACATGATTAAAATGGATCGATATTTTTTAATAATAGGAAACTTGTCTTCTTGACTTATTACCTTTTCAGAGCAAGATCTGTAACTTTCTCCCCAACCACCATCCTCTCTCTGTGTTTTCAACAGAAAATTGACAGCTTTGCGGATTGAGTGACAATTTTCATGTGTCTTCCCAATTGCTGCCAGTCCTCCAAGAGCCCACCAGGTACTGTATATGAAACACACACCCCACTCTCCATACCTAAAATCCATGGATCTTTAAGTTAGAAAAATAAGAATAGAAATGTCATTTCAACAGTTTCAAGAATTTTGACTTTGATGCTGAAAGGAGAAATAAACCATGAACCATCTGGCATTTGCATTTTCTCTAGGTATCCACATGCATCTGTAAAAAAACTATCTATTTCTTCCCTCCTATATTCGGGATACAACTTCCTAAATAAAACGAGGGTCTGCATTGCTGATGATGTGCATTCTACATACCTGGTCCACAGTCATGATAAGTCTCTTGAAGTTGAAATTATATAGTATGATTGGTAATCAGAGAAAACATGTAAGTAGTAAACAATATTTGAGTCTTACTCATGCTCAATGACAACGTCCTCAAAGAATTCTGTAGGATTGAGAATCTAAATTGGAATCGAAGTTCAATAAGTAAGGAATCATAACGAACACATACTGTTGTGAAATACGAAGGATCCGAATAGACTTAAATAATATTAGCTCAATGCGGAATGGGATAAAAAATTATCAAAGCGTAATAATCACAACGAAATACGAATAAAATAAATAGAATAGAGACACAGGAATTTACGTGGAAACCCAAATCGGGAAAAAACCACGGGCGGAGGAAGCCGAGAAACAATTCATTATAATTTGCAGTGTTTACAGGGATTATGAAAGAGATTACAAATAGAATGAGAGGGCTAAAATATATATGGTGGTGTATTAGTATATATATATATATATATATATATATATATATATATATATATATATGTAATGTTTTACTATATATATATATTTTGATTGTTTGGGTTATATGTGGGTTAAATCTCTCTGGCTATTTATAGCCAAAGAGGAGAATACAAATCTAATATGAAAACAAAAATGCCGTCCAAAAATTGCTGCGCCTACAATCTTCAAATTCATATTGCATATTACTATACACATATAATAATGTCTGCACCTCCATTCCGTCCAATTTCATTTTCAATTTCAATTTCATATTAGATTACTATTCATAGTCAAACTATGAATAGTAAATGATAAGTTACGGAAATAACCCCTGAACTATTTACCACTTGCTAATTTTGGAGGCAACTTTTCCACACATACATTCAATAAAATGGAACAATTCAACAGCAAGTTACCTCCAACCATTTTGATGATCCTGCTGGTTCCCATCCTGATAGCCCACCGTTTTTGCTCTATATTATCATGAGCGTTAAAAAAAGGAACTTCTCAAGCTTCACAAGATTAACAATTTAGATATGTAAATTAATTATTTTATATTTTCTTTATATCCCCTTTATCTTTTCCAACATCTAGGTTTTCTTCAACAAAAATTTTCTACTAGTGTGTCCATGAAATGAAAGAGAGGAAAAGTAATATAAGAAATATATGCTTGCCTTTAAGGAAAGTATTACGTTTACAGCCTCACTAAGTTGCTGAGGCTCCATCTCTTTGCCGACAATTTCAAGGGGCATAATTGACAATAGAAGGCAACACTAAATATAGAAAGTAAGTAGATATTGAGAGGCTATTTTGTATTGTGTGATTATGTGTTTCTGAAAAAATATATATACAAATACCTTCAACCCTTCAGAAGTACAATCTACAACTTGCCATCCATGATCTTGATCAGAAAAGGTCCACGACCCTCTAGAAATATGGCGATACATGCTTTTAAAGTCATGAGAAGGATTGTCCTTAACCTACATAAAAATTGATCAAGGCCATGCATTAATCCACAATCACATATATATACTCGGTTTTATGTATAACTAGTAATCCAAGATATGCATAATAACTTTAATTTAGGCCTTAGAAACCTGGGAGGATTTAATAAAATTGTGTCCCTTCTTCAAGGTAGGGCCAATCTCGTGGGTCAAATCTGTAGCTAGCAAAGCTTGAATGGCAAGACTTGCATCCCATTGTTGACTGCCAAAACTCTATTTTGAAATGAAACCATCAAACTTTTGAATCGGAATGATCTAATTAAGTTAACCTAGCTATTGAACTATATAGCTTGCATCATTAAAAATATGTTTTTTGTGAGTAGGTAGTCTTGTATGACCTGCATTTTCATCCCATCCTCAGTAACCCATAAAAAATCTGGGATTCTGGCAAGGTGCTTTTTAAAGTAGTCCCCGTTTGGATCCTCAACCCAGCATGCAAGCATACACAAGGCCTGCACAGTTTGTTTAGAGGGGGGCATAAATACACATAACCATAAGAAGTACTTGTTAATATTTCTATGAATGTTTATGTGATTTTCTTTTCTCCTTACCTTCTCCACAGCACCAATTGTGATATATCGACTATTCTCATCTTCATAATGGATATGATCCATGGTTGTTTTGAGTGCTTTCTCCCGTAACTTGTGAAGAGGCCAACGAGTTAGGATTGGCTCAGTGAAAATGTAAAGACTGTCCCATATTAGATCTTGTAGTAAAGAATGAGGATAGTATAGGTCCTCCTGAGATATTAAGTTAGCATAGGCATATAAGAATTTAATAGATATAAACAAACAAATGAAGGAAGCAAGTAATTCACCTTTGCACACAAATGTCTTATACTAAACCAGGTGATTTGATCATAGGATTGTGTGTATAATTCTTCTCGTAATTGTAAAACCAAAGGACTGATTTGACCAACAAACCTCTTTCCGTATAAGTAAGACATCGGCATGTATACCAGTCGACAAAAACACCACATTTTTGCTGTATTTGGACAAACAAACTAGTAAGGGTGAACTTATCAACATTATACATGGTCATTGACATTCATTGATCTTGAAATCTGGTATGATGTAATCATGCATACATATTATTTTTTGGAAACAACACTCTATTAAAATAGGCAAGCATTGGCTAGCAAGAAACTAAACAATTACATTTTAGTAGCAACTATTGTACTCTTAACATGTGTCGATTATTATAGTTATTTTTAGTTATAGGTTAATTAGTTATAGTGGCTAAAGTTAGTTAACCCAAGTAGTAACTGCTAATATGAAAATGTGTGAATTGTTGACTTTATTGTGTACCTATATATAAGTGTATGTATCTCTATAACATGGTGTCAAGTTAATAAAAGTATATGTTATTGTGTAAAGCAATCATCTTTTGCATACTTTGATTGAGGAAATTTTCATGTATAAAAATCATTGATTTACACAATAACACATACTTTTAGTAATAGTTATATTTTAAGATCAAGTCCAACAAAGCAATATCAGAGCCATGTTCATGGTTCTAGATTAGTGGATATTCGTGACTTTTGACGATGCTCTCGATAGTCAAGTACAAAATGGATGGTATGTTGTTGTTGAAGAAGAAATATGTTGTGCACCTTATATATTGTGTTTGTGTGAGAAAAAACCCGAAAGGAAATATCATGAGCAATATTAATGATGAGTTTTAGGATTTTATAATGAATCCTAATGAAGATAGTGATATGTTAGAGATTGTTGTAAAGAAAAACATTATGGAAAATGGTAGTTTTTGCATTGTTTATTTGTGACAAAGAGAAGTTGTCCACATGTTTTGGAAGGTGTGAGTGTAATTTTAATTTGGGATGTGACCGTTCTAAGGTTAATAGTATCCTTATGCTTCAAGACACAAGTTTGAGAAGCACAAAGAGTCATTCACATACATGTACAAATTATTCACATAACCAAAAACACACAATGCTCGTATGGTTTTAGGATTAAAAAGAAATGTTATGGTCATGATAAGAATATACAAAAGGTGAAGCATGTAGTATAAGATAGTTGTTATGGCCATGATAATGAGCATGTAGTGGAATTCAACGATGGTTGTTGTGCTAAAGTGAGTCATTGTGGACAAGAGAAGAACGACGAGTGTTGTGTTAATAATGTTGACGAGGTACATGATCATGATGATGTACATGGATGAAGTATATATAATGGATCACAAATGACTATTACTAAGGATGGTATTAAATTTCAACAAGAGAGTGCAAATGATGATACCAATCAGATGGGATATAATTGACCAAGTTGCATCTTCATTTACAAAATCATTAAAGGTTGGATACTTACCAACAATTCTAATTAAACTAGGTGTTGTTAAAGTATATATTAAGGGGGAATGTTGAAGCGTATTAGATAGTTATTATAGTATAGGGATTAGAGTGTAAATATATTTATTATATATCCCTCTTGTATTACACGTTATTGACAACAACCACAATTACAATTATGTCTTCTCCGCAACTGAGAAAACATCACACTACTCCCACAAGTTTCCGTTTACTCTCTCTTCCCAACTATGGCTTTTGGAAAATTATGATCCAACCGTTTCTTGTTACCAATAACCTCTTTGGCTATATTGACGAATCGATTCCTTGTCCCAACCCTACCCTACCACCGGCAAAAAAAAGTAACCATCGTCGAACCCCAACCAAATCCCTAATATGTTGTCTGGTTAGCCAATGATGACCATGTACGCATGCTCCTACTATCCACCATCTCCGAATCAGCCTATCCCCATGCACAAGGTACAACTTTAAAAGATCTTTGGCTTTCTCTACATTGAGCCTATGCCCCTCAGTCGTCTTCTAGCAAATTTACACTCAAAACTCAGCTTCTCAAAATGGAGATGAAACCTGAAGAAACTCTCTCTACCTATCTCTTATGTGCTCAGGAATACTCCGATGCCCTAGCCAATATTGGTTAACCAATCAAAGAAAAAGATCTAGTCATGCTCGTTATCTCTGGTCTACGTGAGGAATACAACGACTTTAAATCAACCATCCTTGCTCGAAAAGCAACTACTTCTTTTCAAGAACTTCATGGTCTTCTTGCAGACCATGAATTTATGGTAAAAAAAACTCTTCCCACAATTGCACCTATCCAAGAATCTGCAACCACCTCATCAACCCGTTCCCTTCCTACCACTACTACTATATCTCCTGATCAAATGCAAGCCCTTCAACAGCTGGTTGCTCAACTCGGTTTTCAACTTCACCCAGCTCCAACCACACCTGCCACCCCCAGGCTTTCTATACTAACTGACCTTCATCCTCTCGAGGTCGTGGGTCCAACAACCGTTGTGGCAAAGGCAACTCTAACTCCTCATCAGGTGGTACTAGAACTCAATTACCTTGGGCTTCCACTCAAGACATTGGAACATGTAATCGATGTGGCATCAGCCACATCCCCTCCCAATGCCCTAAACATGACTCTACCACTATCCGCCGGCGCGCCCACAACCATCAGCTAACTTCGCAGAAAATCATTCCGAAATTGCCACCTGGCTAACTGACACAGGCTCCAATAATCATGTCTTTCATGATCTCTCATCTATTGACAGTCATACACCTTACTTTGGTGAAGATGCTCTTCATGTCAGCAATGGTACATGTTTACCAATTCTTCATATTGATTCTACTCGTTTTCACTCTCCTTTAAAAATGTTTTCCTTACCCAATATTCTTTATGTTCCAGAAATTAAAAAGAACCTTCTTTATGTTCAAAATTTTTGTCTAGATAATGATGTCTTCTTTGAATATCACTCTTCTTTTTTTGCTATTAAGGATATACTACCAAAACTACCCTCCTCACGGGTCCAAGTAACAATGGGCTCTACTGCATTCGTCTTCCTTCTTTTCAGTGTCTTCCCAAAGTTGCATTCACCACCACTAAACCCCCTTATGACATTTGGCATCAACAGCTAGGCCATCCTTATCCATAACTTTTAAAATTTATGTGTTCTCAGTATTTTCTTCCAGTTTCTAGAAAAACTTCAGTTTCCTTTTGTAATTCATGTCATGTTGGAAAATCATCCAAATTTCAGTTGCCCACGTCTACTTTTACAAGTAATTTTTTTTAGATCTTATTGTGTGCGATGTTTTGGGTCCTGCACATGTGACCTCGTCTGATGGTCACAACTATTTTTTGCTATGTGTTGATGATTTCTCTTGCTTTATGTGGATTTTTCCTCTTAAACGAAAATCGGATGTGTTTAATGTGTTTAAACAATTTCTCACCACTACTGTGATAACTCGAAAATTTCTACCTCGTAAGTCAATTCAATCAATCGAAAGTCAGACTTGTTTCTATTGCCTTTATGTTGTGTTAAGGGTATGTTTCAGAGTTTCTAAGCCTAGTACACTTAAGGATTGTGTGTTAGGAAGTATTCACTTGAGTTCTATGAGTTGCAATCAAGCCGGAATCACCATCAAAATGAGTTCACGGCCGTGAACCCTCACTTGGCCGTGAACTACTCATATATATAAGAGATTGGTCCATTTTTCTTCATTTCTCCAAACTCTAGCCGTGAACATCCCTTTCTCTCTCAACTATCTTCAACCGTGAACACTCCAAAGGCTTCCAATAAGTAAGTATCTCATCTATCTTCTTAATGTTCATTAGAAACAGTAGATTCCACCCTTGAAACAACACTTCAATGCATAATCTTCAAGAGTTCACGACAGACAGTAGGATGTGTGTTTTCCGCTTCATTTCCTGTTCCTTGTTTGGTTGTGGGCTTAGAGCAGATTCACCCAGTCTATTATCTATTCGATATTGATATATATATATATATATATATATATATATATATATATATATATATATATATATATATATATATATATATATATATATATATATATATATATATATATATATCATGTATACACCAAGTAATCATAGGGAGTAACAGGTATGGGTCAGGTCATAACATACTTTTCGGATAGAACATTAAGTAGGTGAAACTAGAAACTTATCTATAAAAGGTTTGATACGCTTTATTAAACAAGTATAACTTAAAGGACCTTAAATGGTTAATTCTCTAATACCTTATTTTATACATCAAGGTTATATATAATTAATATCCGATAGGCAGTGGAATGTGTGCTTTCCGCCTTACTTCCTGTTCCTTGTTTGGTTGTGGGCTTAGGGCAGATTCACACATTCAACTGTCCGTTCAATATTAGATTATATATAGCTAGTATAAACTAAGTGATTATAGAAGGAATTATTGTGGTTACCATTTTTACTAAAGGAAATATATGATTTTCTTAAGGAATGTTTTCATCAAATATAAAGGAACTATTACAGTTAACTCCGTAAGTACCAAATGAATACGCCAGGGTTATATACAATGAAGATCTAACAAACAATGGGATGTGTGACTTCCGCCTCATTTCATGTTCCTTGTTTGGTTGTGGGCTTAGGGCAGATTTACACAATCGATTGTCTGTTTACTCTGGGTTTTATATAGCTTGTATCCATTTAGTACTCATAGAAGGAATTGTAGAGTCATTTTTACTTATCATTCATCACATCAGAAAATATAGGATTTTCTGAAGGAACAGATGAACTTTTCTAAAAAGAACTTATAGTATACATTTTATCACTAAAATAATTATGAACTCACCAGCTTAAATGCTGATCTACTCTTTCAAAATAACTTGTATTCTCAGGAAACTAGTAGACAGGTACGCGCACTGGGATTCAGAAGATGGAGCATATAGCTTAATGTCTTATTTTGTTATTTACTTTGGAGTCAATATTTTGTGAATCTAACACATTGTAAACACTTTATTATTTATACAATGGTCGTTGTTACTTTGATTACTATGATGCATGTGTTGTGATACTGAACATGACGTCCTCCACCCCCGAACGTTTACGCCGTTCCGTTTTGGGGGTGTGACAACTACTAAAGGATAGTTTTCCACAAAACTTA